GGAGGCGGCTGCGCACAGCTCCTGGGGCCGAGGCTGCGGAGAGCCGCGTACTGAGACTTGAGAGGAGAAGATTTCCCCGTCGAGGGCCATGGCAGAGAATAGGAGTGCCCAGGGCAGTCTTGAGGATTTTCAAGTAACGTTAGGAGAAATGGATAACACAGTAATGTGCCTTCAGTACGGCGTCGAGAGCTGTGTGAGCAAAGCCTGAATCCCGCGGAGTCCCGCGCGCTAGGCCATTAGGCCGCTGCAAGATGCAGTGCCTGGCGAGCCAGGCTCCTTGGAAGGTCGTCTGGTGTTTGGCCATGTCGCTACGCTGTTTTTTACAGGCAGTAGGATTAGAGTGCTAATTCATAGCAAATTTAACGCTGGTATTTCCTAATTTGGGGGTGTTACAATAAATTTCACTCAACATGTTTTTTATAGGTGTTAATACATGCTTTTGACATACGTAATTAATGAAATCCTGGCAAATTAAAGTCAGGAGTTTTGTAGTGACTTTACTGCAACGAGTGACTCTCACTGCCTCTTAATGTGTTTAGGTATTGTGCACGTGCTCTGTATGTTACATAGTGAAATGCGTTATCTATAACTAGTAGTAAGATGACAGATAAGAACTGATTATTGAGGATGCTTTTCGGACTCCACCATGAACCATCAACAAATCTTTGAAAATACATTCTATTTCTGTGTTTACCTTAGCGCATAACGTTGCACATGGCCTCTTGCATCTGAATATGACTTGGTGAAAACAGCTTCCTTAGCAAAAGTAATGGCATGTTTGCTCTGTTGTTTTGAAGAGTTGACTGAGTTGTTTTCCAAGTTTGTTGATCTCTGTGTTTATTTACTGAACTTCACTTCTTTTGTTTTCTCCTTAAGCCTCAGCTTAATTTGACCTGGACCTAATTTGAGAGGAAACAGTTTTTTTTTAAATGGATTTATGGAAGTTAATGGATTTTAAAATCGTGGAGTGTTATGATTAAACCATGCTCAAGGAATGATGAATATAAACTTACTGAAGCAATAATACAAAGAATTTATGAATATACACACACACACACACACACACACACACATATATATATTATATATATAAAAAGATATAGCAGGGATGTATTTTTGATTTTTTTTTTCCCTTTGATGGGTCCAATTTTAGGCTAGTTTATCAATACTTGTAACACCCTTTTTTTTTCTATGTTTAGTAGAATAATGAAAATAACATCTAGCATTCTCGAAGTATTTTGTTTGTGTAACTGTTTGTATGTGGTAGCTCCCAAATGACCCTCATGCTTTTTAGGCTTTATGGTGGAACGGTCTGCAATGTACCAAGTCCCCAGACAAGGCTAGAAAATGGACGGAGGCTGCAGAAGGAGGAAGAAGTAACAATAACGAGGGTGATTGCAATTCAGGTCAGATTCACAGTAGGTCGCTCAGAAGAAATTCCTTTTTAAAACAAATGACTTGGAACTGTTTCTGTCTTTCTTTTCTTAGACTGGTGGCCTTACTCTCAAGAGTACAGAAAAGAAGGCCAAAGCTCAGTTTTTCTGAGGCAAGAGGTGTGGGCTTCCCCGGGGGCTTAATAGCTCCCCCAAAACACCACCATGTTCCTTCTGGGGCATTCAGAACAGTTCCAGTACATCCAGTATTGCTCTCGAGAGGAGCAGCGCGAGCGAGCCCCAGCAGGCTGCACCCCGCTCCTCAGCACCAGGTCCGCTGGGGCTCTACTGCGCTGCGCAGAGCAGCCTCCGAGATGAGGTCATTTTGTCCCTGCTCCAATGCGCGTAGTGAACTACAGCTCCCGCTGCGGGGCTTGCAGCTACAGCTGGGGCTGCGGGGCAGACCTGCGGCACCTGGAGACATCAGCACCGTGTCTGCATCGGAGAAGGAGGGCGTCTGTCTCCCAGTCCCCGTCACAGCATCATGACTCTCCAGGTAAGTGCTTCTGCATCTGGGTGAGATAGAAAGAAGCTCAATGCAGGGGGGAAGAGAGGTGGGGATGTACTGCAGCATCTGTGGTGGTCATGCTGTATCAGAGACAGCAATACTTCTTTGGCATGAAGGTTATTAATGCAAAATCAAAGTTATCCTGCAGCATGGGACATTTACACAAGCCTTTGAGAGGTTAAATACTGCATTGATTTTTGCAAATGGAGGGAGAGAAACATGCCACCTTATTTTGAATGTGCTTATTTTGAACATGGTATGTGGGTCATGTAATTTTGTTCAGAGGGGAGACTTACCTGTTTAGCATGTGCACGAACTATTTTTATGTGTGGATCTGAGTTTGCTAGCACTGGGATACGCATTGAGAGGTAGGTATGTATTTTGAGGTTTTTCTAGGAGCTAGTTTAGTTACTTATTTAGAGCTAAAAATAAACAGGGAAGCTTCTAACAGTGAATCAATGAATATATATGCTTTTGGGAAACATGAGTAATTTTCCAAGGAGTGGTGCATGGTTCTTTAGGGTGTGTGCGTTTTTGGAGAGGTTACTTTTCAAAGGGCCTATGTGTTTGGTAGGACAACTTGACCACCAGAAAAGAGCTACCTTCCATCTGACTAGATGTAAATAGTTCCTGAGGAGTTAATCTTCATTGCTGGCTGCTAGCCTCCTACCTTTGTAGCGAAGTGTGAATACTTTCCTTGTCTTGCCTGTGCCCGGGTGAATTCAGCAGTTCTTTATTAGGCTTTCTGTTATCCCTCTCACGTTAAGAGCTGCAAGCCCTTTTATCCTAGCCTCATTATAATGTGCGTCTCAGCTTGGTTGGTGTGTGTGTTTTGTACGGAGCGAGCAACGTAGCGCTCGGTGACCTAGATGCAGAGTGTATTGTCAGTAGCTCAGCAGCTTTCTTCTGAGCTGCAATTGCTGTTGAATGGCACGGAGGTGTCCTTGGGATGCTTTACAGCTCAAAGGATGGATCTTTTCCAGTGAGTCAGAACTGCCACATCCCAAACATAACACCAGTTTCAATCAATTAATGATCACTGAAATCACATTGTGTTTTATCCTGTCTTTTATTCATTGTAGAACACAAGTTTCTTATTAGCCCCGATACTTTAGAAATGAACAGTAAATCACTATTAGAAAGAGCTGAGTACAATACGATATGCCATTGTTACATACAGTTATACCTTCCTCCCAAAATCAGTGGTTGAAATATGGAATGCTGCACATTCTGCATTTAAGGATTATGGAGGTTTCATACCCATTATCATGTTGGTTGACCGCTACCATCCATACCCATAAAACATCTTTGAGTCAAGCTCAAAGGGAATTTGAGGGCAAATGGATAAAATGTTATTTTCATCAAGGAGGCTGTACAGTATCTCTCAAATTAGTTTTGCAGAGTGCTAAAACACTCTACTGTAAATGAAGAATTCATTCAAGCTTGTATTCCTTTCACAATGGAAGTATTATGCAGTAATAGTCTGATGGTAATTTGTGCATTCATCTTTAATGCATGTGTGTATTTTTATGTATTTGTGTGTCTAAAAATATCTATAGTTAATCAGAAAATACTTCTGCTTTTAATCTGAGGAGTTAAAGGGAATTTTATCAGCACATGATTAAAAGGAAGTTATGTTTTTTCAAATGCTCCTAAGCGTGTTGTGTAAGCAAGCAAATCCTCAACAACATTCTGTGCACAATGGTTGGGTAAGGGAGGTTGAAGAAAGAAATGTTGAGTATTTTGATTTCGTTTCTGCCTCTTTTTGCTGCAGATGATGTGCATCTGCATGTTTTTAAAAGCGTCTTGTGATATTTGCATATGAATCCAAATAAAATAAAAGTATATTAAATATAAGATAAGAAGTTAATGGCCTCCTTTCTCAGTTTATTTTTTGAGTGATCCTTTGCCTGTGCAAGTCTAACAACACTTCTAGTTCATTCTTATTGTGAAGGTTCGATCAAAAAACAATTCCAGGCAATTGGAGGATTTCCAATAACTTGAATAGTCTTTGAATCTCAGTCTTGACAGAGGCTCAAATACTGTAGTGGCCACAGTGTAAAAATGAAGATAGAAGCTTATTTTGTCTTTAATCAATTTGGCAATTTGGTTGTATTTTATTATTGATGCAACATTTAAATCTTATTGTTAACAAAGCATGAATGCTATTTTATTTGTATGTGAATGGATAATTATTAGGAGAAGTCTGTGATGGAGGAGGTGTAAAGATGTCGCAACAGTTATCCTCTGGTACCATATTTGCAGTCAAACCTCTTACATCTGCTGATGTTTAGATTAAGAATGAAATATTTATTTTAATAGAGTTTATCTACACAAGAAATCTTCAGCGTGGTGAGCCACCAAATTTATTTTCTTAAACAAAATACATCCTTCTTATGCGCTCATGCCGACAGTCTGAGTGTAAAAACTTTGTTTTCGGGAGTGTCAAAGATGCAGAGTTCCAGTTTCTTTCAGGCTTTGTTGTTAATCCAGCGACCCATGTGTTGCATTGCTGATTCTGTTTCCCCTCATTGAGCACACCTCTATAATAAATGCTGTGTATCTATTTAAAAGGTTTTTAAAAGGTTTTTTTTTTTTTAGTGCATATGCAGACATACGTTTTTGCATAATTAGACTACAGTTTTGGTACATGAGTACAAAACTTCTTCAGTGGTTCCAGCAGGGCTTAACGTAGCCTAATCCTACGGTGTATGAAACCCTCGCCCGCGCGTCACGTTGGGAGTTGCTGTGGGGGTAAACCGAGACAGAAAATCAGAGCCCGTGAGTCCCTCCTCAGCAACTGCCCACGTGCTTGCCCTTGTCCCGAGGGGAACACAAAGTCGACTGGGCCCCTTTTCATAGCGGGATAAGCTGCCTAATTTACCAAAGGGTATCTTGAGGTAAACGTTCATACAAATAGTGTCGCAAGTACTGTCTAAGTTCAAACTCCCAAGTTAGCTAATTGTGACTCATCTCTCCGTCCCCTTGCTCTCAGCTGGGAGAGCCCGACGGTGCGCGTACGGCACAGTACTGGACTTGTGCTCCAGGGGCCTGAATTCTCTCTCCCGCACGGTTAGTGACTTCACCTTTCTGGCTTTACTTCTAAAAAAGTATTTACCTACTTTATATGGTCCTTGGCAGTTTCTGGTGAATAATTAAGAACGGAAGTAACATCTCAACTTGCTGAAGCATTTTATGTGCTCGTTGGAAATCCAAGTACAGTTAGAAAAGGAGAACAAGAAACAACACTGAAAAGGAAGGAAAATAAAGATTCCAAGGCTTTCAAGAAAAAAAATGTTAATATTAGGAATTCCTCACAGTGAGGAGTTTATTGTTTATCATATTGCTTTCATGAAGCTCCACACAAGAACGATGGGCTATAATTAATAACTAAAGCGCTCTTTGGCCAAAGATCTTTCTCTTTTGAACGTCCAAGAATGAAGGACACAAGAGTCAATCAAAATGCTTTTGTCTGCGCTAGAAACTATCAAAGCTATGATTTCTGGAGGAAGAATTGATTTCTCTAATCAAATTTGAGATTAAGGTTGTTTTGTTTGCATGGATTTTTTTTAATGGCATCAAGGACAAATACATATAGAGAACATACAGTTTTCATGTTAGCCTAACAACTTATCCTAAGGCAAATACTGTTATGGTTTATGCTGTGAACTTTCTAAAGGCCACTGAAATTTTGGTGCCAAAGCTTACAAAGTATTTAATGGGAGTTTCTTTATACCATTTGTTACTTGAATTGCTGCTCAATAGATTCAGTATTTAAAGAAGAAGTTAAATAATCTATCGGCCTTTAGTCACAGGTATTGTTAAAAAGCTGAAGGGCTATAGTTAACAGAGAAAGATGTCGCAGCAATAATTTCTTAGGGCTCAGGTTGTTCCACTGTGTACATAGTTAAACCTTGACCAGCTGATAAGAGATTTTAAAAGATTTATCATTTACTGATTTGACCTGAAATATAAAGATTTTTATTTTCATTGCTGTATATTTATGTTTATTAAAATGTTTTGTATTTAATAATTTCCTTTTAACATCAGTTATTTAAAGGGCTTTTAGAAGAATAGAAATTGACTTATACCATGTGGCCAATGCTAAAGCTGTTTTTCCTGACCCACACATTGAGATATTTCACCACCTTCAAGACAGCAAAACCACCTATTCATGAATATATGTATTTGAAGCTCTTATTTATATAAGTAGTGAATCTATTTTAATATTAATGCACTATTGTTAATTTAAAACCTTAAATCAAACTGCCATTATTTTGCTAGGCTAAATTGCCAGAAATATTTGTTGTTCAGACCTGTAAGAAGATATAACACCTGCTCCAGAGAGCTTAGTACTTTAAAAGATTTTTTAAATGGTTGTTTTATGGTAGCGAGGAGAGCATACGCTGGCTTTCAGACTGCAGATTGCCACCATCTACAGGCTAGAAAAAGACCTCTCAGCATTAGTGTAACTTTATAAAAAAGCCACTATTTATTGTGAACGTGTAGGAGTCTGTGCATGCTCTTGTATGCTTCTTAACCCTGATACAATCCTGAAAAGTTAAGTGTCCTTTCCTGCTCTTTACACTTGAATTTATTTCATGTGGTAGAGGTCCCTCCGTTAGTAAGCAAAGTGATCAGGAGGTAAGGTCCAGGTATGGAAAGAACAAACAAGTTTTAAACAGGACCTTCCATGGGCTCTCCAAGGTGTCTTTACTTATAACGGTCTGACTATTTCTGGGGTGCCCCCATGGAACTTGCGCTTTGTCAGGCTTCAGCGGGGAGCACCAGGCAACTATTATGTGGTGTAGCGTTAAAGCATTTAGGAGCCCTAGTCAAGAACTCTGGAGTTCTTCAAACACAGAAGAGAAAGGCGGCATTGACACCAAGGACTTAACACCTCTCTGAAAAGCTGAATTTGAGTCTCAGGTAAAGAACCAAGTTCTGCCAAGTATGTAATTTGTGCAGTGCTGCAAGTTTTGCCTGAAAGTTCAAGGACTTACTATCATGTAGACCATATTTTTTGAACTCAGTTTAGCTGCAACTCAGAGAGAAGGCTTCAGTTTATGTTTAAAACAAAGCCAGGCAAGCCCCTCAGATTTTGCTTAAACTCTTGGACAAATTGGGAGAGAAAATACTTTACAAAATGTTTTAACAATCCACTCTTTCAACTGAGGTCTGAGAAAGCTCGTACTCCAGTTTTCTAATCTTTCAGAAAAACAAAAAATTGTGTCTCATATTTCTGATATTAAACTTTGAAGAAGAAAATATTTACATTTCCTTTATACAGAAAAAAGAGAACCAAGAGTATAAAGAGCTTTTGTTGTCTGCATAATCCATTTTTATTTCTGAACCGAGCCAATTAAATCTGGTTACTTCAATTAAAATAGTTTTCATAATCAATTTAATTCCCACTAGAATGCTGGGGTTTTTTTTCAGTAAACAACAGAGAAGATGGAACCCAAAAATGCTCAGAGAAGAGATGCTGTAAGGTCATTTTAACATTATTGAATCAGCTTTTATGTGTAGCCTGGAGCATAATGTAATTACATCTGGAGAAGTGATTTTGGGTTATCTAAATTAGCTACAACATATTCTGGGTGTTTTGTTTTTTTAATTCTAGGAAAACCCTTTATTTGTCTTTCAGCACTTCCACATATTTGATTGATCAAAAAAAAAATCAACAATGTTTAGTTATTAGCAAACAAAGTCAGAGACAAAAAGTTGGACTTTTTGTCCAAAATTTCAAGTTTCATATTTTTCTATGATTTTGTGATATAGTTGCATTTTATTAATATTTATGATAACTGTTATTAAACAGGAGCAAACTACATATGCCTAGCTGTATATTTTCAAACTATGAAGTTTTAGGTTTAAGAATATTATCTGTCCATCATTTGATTTAGAATTTAACTCTGCCAAACCATTTACTTTATCTAATGACCAGATTTCAGAGTTTCAAGTAGACAAGTGACATTTGCAGTCTTGCTGATTTTCAGCGTCGTTCTGAGTAAAGAAGTAAGGAGAGTCCATCATTAGATTTAAAATATCTGCACACAACAGAAGCATTTTTCAAACTTAAAACTAGTAACTGTGTTTAAAATCCTAGCCATTTGCTGTATTTCTGCATCCCCTGCTGGGCGTTTGGTTCTGTGAGGCCTTAGTGGGAATCGCTTGGAAACTTCTGCCCATTGATCGTGCGCACGCTAAGATTCTTACCGACTTGGAAGATTATTTGTTAATAAGCATTTGCATTACTGCAGGTTTTTTTGTCTCAAGAGCTTTCCTGTTGTTGTATTTTTAAGGGCTCCATAAACTCTGTCAACACTAGAGATGTGGATTATGAACCCTTAATGGACATTAACGAACCCTTCTCATCTACTGGTCTGTGAATTTGTAGCTGCATTTTAAAGGTCATTCAAGATTTAATTGCTATTTTGCAGGATGCATTTCTTTGACGGAACACCTTTTAATCATGCATCATGGAATTTTAAAAACCTTCCTTTTAAATGCATGTGTCTGCCTCCTGTCTCTTGTTTTAACTTTGTGGTGCTATTACTGGTATACATCTGCCTGTGGTGACTTAGGAAAAATGTGCAGAGCAGTGAATGCAAGCTGTGCACCTCAGCAGCAGCGTAGCTCTGAAACTGAGCGCTGCCTCTTCACTGTGTTAACCTGCATGTTACAGGGGGAAATAAAACCCCAAAATCTACAGTTCAGCAGCAGTGCAAGCTGTAAGTGCAGGTTGTATGTATGCAAGACAAGGGGAAGTTTACCCAAGAGCCCCCTTTTTCCTTAGCATTTCCTGCCTCTGCTTCACCATAACCTGCCTCTTTTCCTTCAGCAGACCTCTGCCTCTGCCCTGTGTGTTATCACAGGGGTTATTTTCAAGGCACAATATTTTAAAGCAGTCTGTTTTATCTGATAAGAGGATTATATGTGAGAAAATTTAGCATATACAGATGCACAGAACAGATAAATTTTAAAATAAGCTTTCTGTTCGTTCCTTTTCTTTTTTAGTAATTCATGGATTATTTGCAATAACAGCAAGGAGCTTCCAGTGGAAGCAGTTTTTAATTTGTTGAACTGATACTGGAGACTTTGGACTTGGCTGAACGCTAATGTACATACTGATTAAGATCTAAAAGCTGAACTTCATGGCTAAGAGTTGGTCAGTTAAATCTTTCATTTAGAAATATAGAGATGTAAAAACCTTTTCAAAGAAGCATGGTTTCAATTGTGGAAGTAAACTGGTGTTCCACCCTACCTTCTAGTAGGCAGTGAGCTATAACATCAGGCCCTCCAAACTACTTGGAACTGTTACAGACTCTGAGATTCAAATCCACCTCCGACGTAAATGTGTGCACATACAAGCTAAATAAAACAGAGCTTTGAGAGTGTCTTGAGTAGCGTGTCCCACATGAAGCTGTTGTCAGCTCTCTAGTCACCTTTTTGTTTTGTTCACATCTGTAGCTAGGGAGCTGTTATATGGTCTCAAACACAAAAGACCCTATACAAAGATGCAGGAGAACTGAGAGTGACATAATTCTTACCATCTTTTCAGTGAAGAGAATCAAGGGCCACTCTACAGTATGCTGGTCAGGGTGACAGGGTCATATGTTTTTCAGCCGCAAGTGTGAGCCAGAACATAAAGATCAAGTGAATGTTGATACAATTAAATGCTGTCGACACAACTTGTGAAAAACATGCTATCCTTCGGGGGTCCTACCATCTGTTATCCAGTGCATGCTACACATTAACAGCTGCCTAAATGTAAAACCTTCAAAGCACTGGGGCAGCCTATTGGCTTCAGGACCTCATCTCTAATGTCTTTCTGTCCAGAAGGGATACAAATGTACTATTCATTCCAATCAACTTTAAAGTGCTGGTCTTAAAAATGGTGACAGAGCCATTGCCATAGTCCCTAGCTGGGCAGATGATAAAAAGCAGCTGTGTTCTGCCAAGAACTACTGAGGGGAGATTGCCTTCCAAACACAACAAACCTTCCTCCTCAAGATATTCTTGTGTTCCTTTTAAATTTAGGACCCTGTCTTGTTAATAGCTGTCTTTGTGCCGAAGGAAGGAAGAAAGCACATTGATGGACCCTGAATCTACACAGCCCTGAAGATCTAAATTCACAGACTTTTGTTCTTAGAAGATGTCTGCTTTCTCCTTGTTGCCTTCAAATGGCAGTTGAAAGTTTCACAAAAAGTAGAAATTCTCAACTAGCTACACGGGTCAGAACTTGATATCTGGGTACCTCACTGCCTAGCCAAACTAAATTTCCAGACAAAAAAAAAAGTCCAAATTAATGCCACCTCAGGAGGCAGCGGTGACTCATTTGGTGGGAGAGCAGCCAGGTTTCTGTGAATGAACACTGCAGTGCGCCCAGCTACCTCTCCTTGGCCTCTTTCACATGATACTGCTGCCTTAGTGCAGCCATCAGCGTATGTATTGCTAAATCAATGAATGTACAGTTTTGTGATTCCCTGAAGGGGCCTTTCTTTGAAGAAAGATGCCTGAGCACCAGTCTCTAGTTAAATTTTTTGCAATTTTCCTCCTTCAGTTTAAATACAGAAATACTTGTCCTTTATTTTCTCCTTGTTTATATGAAGACTGCTATACTGAACCCAGAGCTCATTCTTACTTGTTTACTTCTATCACCAGGTCTTGCCAGCACAGTCACTTGCTGAGGAGAAAGGCATCAATTAAGAAGACAGCTGGGCCTTAGACTTTCTTATTTAAAAAGAAAAGAGCAATTAATGTCTTGTTACTGGAGGAAGGAAAAGTTATCTAAGGAAGGAGGGAGTCTATATCCCAGCTGGTTGCAACCTGCCTGTACAGACTGCTGAGATAACTCCAGTCTTAGTTATTTTTAAACAAACAGAGCCACAGAACTCCTATTTATACTTCTATTGAAAACATAGCTGATTTTTGCACAAAGTTGTAGACTTTTTATACATACTAATTATATGTGTAACAGCACATTTTGCGGGATATACTGTAGTTCTGCAAATGCAAATCAAACTAAAAGCTAAAATAATTAGTGTAACTAGCATATAGCATATTTAAGGATCTGTATCTTTTTTGCATTATAGTAGTGCAGAGAACTGATGCTTCTGTGGTCATTGAAGGAACAGAGGTAATTGGGCATAGAAGCCCAGCAGAGAAACATACACACCTGGGCATGAAAGAGACTACAAAAGCTATGCTAAGGGCTAGCCTGAGACCTAGCGTATAGAGAATAGCAGCTAGCCTTGGGCTGAGGCGAGTGTGCGCCACATGAAGACGAAAAAACTATTTCCATCTTAAATGCATCCCTCGCTCTGTGCTATACTGTGTGTATACAGCTTGTATACCACAAGAGTTGGGTATAGAAGGTCATCCTGGCAATAGCACTGCTCCAGTCTCCACAAGGCACGTCTGTGCGCCATCGGTCACCTCCTGCATTTTCAGCAGGCAAGAGGAAGTGACAGAGGCTATGTGCGGTACCTCTCAAAGGGTGGTAGAGCTCCTCTGTTAGAGCCCACACCTGGATGCAGTCAGGGCAAAAAGGACTCAGCTGTTAGCTGGGGTGCAGTGTTCAACGAATGCCTTCACACCTGCAGCACACACTGAATGTGAAAGGCATACACTACATGCAATGTATGCATTGCTTGCATGAATATATTGATAAATATCCTGGCACTAGACAGTCGTCTGTAATGGTTGCAGGTGGTTCGGTGTAAAACTATGGGTCAAAAAGAGGTTTACTTATTTTAGCAGTGCTGACCCCACCAGCTAAGCAGGCCCAGTCCCCTTTCTAATAACCTATAGCTTTATTAAACTTCTTTCACAGAAAACTACCTAGACTTTTCACTAATCCAAGTGACTACTTGAACACATTGTCCCTTCAGAGAGAAACTTAAGACCTTTCATATTTTTTCTTTCATCAGGCTGACTTTGATGGTGCTGCAGAAGATGTAAAAAAATTAAAAACAAGACCAACTGATGATGAACTGAAGGAACTATATGGATTCTACAAACAGGCTACTGTTGGAGACATTAATATTGGTACTTCTGTTCCTATAAATACGTCAAATTTATCCCCATATCTTAATGAAAACTAGCAAATATTATGTAAATCTGTATGATAATCAATAAAGGTATTCATTTATTTTGGCAGAATGTCCAGGAATGCTAGATTTGAAAGGCAAAGCCAAATGGGAAGCATGGAACCTGAAAAAAGGTGTTACAGTCATTAATTTTAGATCATGTAATTGCTTTTATAGAACAACAAATAAGGAAAGATAATGGCTCGTACTTTCCTTTGCAGGTTTATCAAAGGAAGACGCCATGGATGCCTATATTTCTAAAGCAAAAGCAATGGTAGAGAAGTATGGGATCTAGAATACTCGAAATAATTCCCACTAATAACTAACTCTTCAGTAGCTAATGAACTAACTTTTCTAAGAAAGTGCAGTACTAACCTCTTTATTGTGTAGTCTGACACAAAAATCTTTTAAGCATGAGCTGTTTGACCCTAAAGGGTATTTACATGCGTACTGTATTTTAGACTGTATCTGTACTTATTCAAAATAAATTTGTACCTATTCAGTTAATCTTTCTGTTTGAATTGTGGATTTGTAAGAGTATTAAATTACATTTAGCATTTTCACATTAGCAGACAAAGAAGCTCTAAAAGTAAAATAATATAGTTGTCATTTTTTCTCCAAAATATGGTTATAGAATAAAGTGAAGTGTCTGTGCATGTGCCAGGAGAGAAGAGGAAAAAATAGGAGTTTTTTTTTTTATTTTTAAGAAAAAAGATCCAAACTCAATGTTTATTTTTATGAATCAGAAAAATTTCCCCTTTTTAAGAATTACAATAAAAGATTTTCTGGAGGAAAACAGCAACTTTGAGGCATAACTGCATGCAATTGTACAGAAAGAGTGGATTATTATTAAGTGCTGAAGACTAATATTACTCCATCTGCCATAAAAAAGAGAGAAATGCTCATAGATCAGCATTTTCTATACATCTTGTTATGTGTTTTGTCAAGAAAATTTCATTAGATGGTTCCAGCAGATAAAAGTGACCTCCGGGAAGTTTGTAAATGGAAATATCTTGACTTGTTACATCATCCCAGGCTGAAAAAGATATTTAAAGTGTCAGAGAAGTGTCAAATATTGTAGTTGTTTTACATAGCCATTTCAAGGTTATTATTTAATAATAATTTAAAATCCTGTATGAACTGATTTGGCTGATACTGTTTATACTGAGACTTCCCTAGGTATTTCCATTTAATTTCAAAAGGAGAGAAAAGACTCTAGGGAACTCTGCACATTAACTAATTTGATACAACAGAAAAATAGCTAAGTATAAGAAGGATTCCTTTTAAGCAAAGTACCTTCTAAATCATGTGCTATATCTTCAGACCCATCAAAGCAGGTAATATCGCAGGAGAGGGGAATATTCCTTTCTGCCTTCTCAAAACTGTGAATATAAGAAGTTTCAGTAGTAAGATACTTTCAGTAAGATATCTATATACAGGTTGTCTCCACATACGAAATGGCTTTTTCTTTCTCCTCCAACGCATAGCAGAAACTTTATGAATGAGATTGTGCAGAACAGGAAGGAATTACTCTTAAGATTTTAAGCAACTTTCCCTACTAAATGCTGTCCAGAGCATTAAAGATAGAATGACCAATACTTAGGAAAAAAAGAGCTTCCACTTGCAATAAGAATTCCCTCCTACAATAACTAAATTTGCTGGCTGTGTACATACAAGTTCAGGGCCTAATCAACAGCTGGTTCCCATGGCCAAAAGGGTCCCATGTCCAGGAGTGGCCTTACCTTTGCCAGTATGAGAACCTTTAACCACTCAGCTACCAGAGCAGTTGTGCAGGCCTACTGGGGAAAGAGGACTGGTGAAGCTGGTTGCTTTCTAGGTGTCTGCAACAGGAACATAGGGATGGCCACTTGGTGAGCATAGGGCGCAGTGGATCAGGAGGCTGAATGCAGTGATCATGAAGCATGATTAGCTGAGTCTACTGGCTTCGGAAAATAATAAAAGATGTACAAATCTTCCTTTCAGTGGCTGTTAACTTTGGAGCCTAAGTAGAACTTTATTTCTACCACGACACATTCACTACTACAACAGCAGTAGTGGTTGTTATGGTGAGCTGTGTGGCATATATATGGCATAAAGACCAGAATAGACATAGAAAAGCACTCAAAGGAGAAAACTTTGTTTACTGTTTCTTGATCTTTGTATAGTAGAAACTAGAACAAATTACTAAGAAAGAGAAAAGAACCTGACATGATCAAACAGAGGTAAAACTATAGCATATAAATGTAAAATACAGGTATAAATGTAGAACAAAGTTGTATTAAACTTACGAAAATGTCTGAAGAACTCTAAGATCTTCTCTTAAAGTAAGAATCAGACTTTTCCTTATGTCTTCATATTGAAGTAGCTCAGAAGGAGTTCCTCCTAAAATGTTTATATGTGCAGTAATATCTTCATCATCTATATCACGTAGTCTTCTGATGGCAAGAAAAGCTTCAGACTGCCAGCATCAGACAAGACACATAAGGTGTTTATTTATACAGTATACTTTAAATAATAATTTCTCTAACAGTTATTTTAGTAAAAAAGTACAGGGATTCCCTATCTCCAAAACACAGTGGTCAGTCAGCTTAACATTTGCAGAGAATACTTCTTGGAAAGGATTGGTAGACTGTATTTGCAGAAAATAGAGATTGTGAGCAAGACGCAAGTACCCTCAAGGTCTGTAGCTTTTACGGACACGTAACCATTAATTGATTCCATTTCAAAGTTTAACTGTCACTCTTGAAATAAAACTAATAAAATAATCTGTTTAAGAGAAAACAAAGCTTAGTGGTGGACACAAAGCCAACTAATGTGGGACTGGAGAGACCCCCTAGATCAAGGAAATTTGCAGGAATTGCTTCTGTGAAGCAAAGAGCGAGGACAGAAGCAATATTGCTGAGAAGCCCCAGAAACAGAGGGATGGAAATAGCAAATGATGACTGAAGCCAGGAGGGCTGGGAAAAAAGTCTAATCCCCACTGTGTTCCTGCGAAAGATAGGAGAAGCACCAGAACAGCAGAAGCAGAAGGAAGGGAGAACGCATAAAAAGCCAACAGAGGGAAAGAACAAGAGGGCAAATGTAATCAGGAACTAGTGCCAGAGGTTTATGCAAGACTTTGCTAAGAGAGTATTTTGCATGTCACAGAGTAGGGTGTGGGACGTTATACTTTGTTTTTATTGCTTTTTGAGTGTTATGTCAAAGACCATAATAAATAATAGGGTATACGGAAAAGGTAACACTAACCTAAGGCGTCTGCTCGCCTTAGGCTAAGGTTAGCCTCTGTGAATATGCTATAATGTGACATTCTCCAGCCACCTCAGAATTAATTTCCCCTAAGATAATAGAACATTTTCTGTGTGCATTCAGGGGTAACGGTTATTTGGTACTTTGGGTATATTAAACATACTCTGCACACCATACAGCCACCACAAGTGTTTTATTTATGGTAGCTAATATACTGCTTTGTTTCACACTGTTAATGATTCTGTAACTTACATGTGGGGCGTGTGCCCCTGATATAAAAAGATGGATCGGCTCTAGTCCATAGTTTTCTTTCAAGTGTAGCGCAACGGCAAAACTAATGTATGATCCAAAACTGCAGTAAAAAGATAAATTAAAGCAATGTAATCACAAACATATGTAAAAACTGGAAAATGTGAACATAATTTTAATTTCAGTACTGGCTGGCTATCTTGAACATTTATTGAAACTATAAATACAGAGAGTTTTATGGTTCTGTATTATGACATGTAAATTATAGTGATATTAGCTAATTCACGTGTGCAACTATACTCATATTGGGACTAGTTTTACAAATCAGTCCTTTTTATCTCCATTTCTTTTAGCAGTCTCCTTAATTTGCAGGAAGAACAGTTATTTTGAGTACTTGGGACTATGTGATCTTCAAAATCTATTTGTTTTATGATTAGCTCACCCCCTACATTCATTTTAGAGTAAGCACTGACACAAATATCAAGAGTAAACAAAATACCACTTTATCAGAGTAATTAAAAAAAATGATCACAACACTGCCATTTTTAGAAGACATTGGGCCTGAAGTAATAAATAACCACAGTCTTTGAGATCAGCAGCATTTTTTTAGTTTGACTTAAAAAAAACCTTTGCAGAAGTGCGTTTTCCTACAGCTCTTGCAAATAAAGTCAAGTAACCATCTACTCCTAGAGTATAAAGATAAACCTCCTTCACCAGGCTATCTAGAAATGAATATATTTTTACCTGTGACCAAAAAATGCAAATGGTTTTTCTTGCAGATCTTTTAACAATACACTTGTAATTTCATTGACTACGGTTGTCATGTCTTGTGCGAAAGGCTCCTTAAAACGAGATTCTCTTCCAGGAAGCCTGATAGAGTACACTGGAGAAGAGGTGGAAGGCAGGAGGGAAAAGAATTACTGTAATTTCAAGAGGAGACTCTAAAATCAATTTAATTAAGTTGCAGAAAAACATTTAAATCTATTCTGCAGAACATACAGATTATTGAAATGAATCCTTTTTACAGCTGACCTGTGCATTTGCTATTGCTAGTGCTATCTTTTAATCCTATGATTAGAGGGTTTAGGTTTCTGTCACTCCCTTTACTCACAAATGTTACCTTCCCAACTAATCTTATTTATAAATGCTCTAAGTCAGGAATTCTGTCTTATAATGATAACAAGGTCCTGATCTCAGCTGAGGTTTCAAAGAAGCTTTATTACTATTATTATTAGTAACAGTGACAAATTAATTAATTTCAATAATAGCAAGTCTGAGAGTTGTGTAAAGAATATCCTCTCAAGGGCAGCATTAGACAGTTAACAAAATATATTCGCATCCTACAGTCTCAGTTTTTCTCTTTGAACTCTTCAGCGCTGAACACAGTAAAACCTAGAATCATAGTATAAATTGATCACATTTTATATTTATACAAAAAGACATGTTACCTCCTTTTATCTATTACTTTCAACATTCCTTATTTTTCTGTCACTTTTTAGAGAAAATAAGGAATGAAGTCATCAACAAAAATGTTTATTTTCTAAAATCTCCTTGACATTGGACATATCTGCCATATGGAAGCAATGGATCAGACACATAAAGTATTTTACTACAGTCAGAATAAGCCACTACGTTATACCACAACTAGATAGTTGCACAAAAATGTTCATGTCTTCTATACTTTGTGCACAGTTAAAATACTTCTGAAAGAGCATGCTGCTCCCTGGTTTTGTTCATCCAAGTTTGCAGTTGCTCCTGGGCCATCTCCTTAGTAACTTTTATTTCCATTAGAAGGGAAGACTTTTTTTTTTTTTTTTTTAATTTCGAGGCAAATTGGATATGCATGACTTGTGCAACAGTCTATAGGAGGCATATAAACATTTAGGAGATGAGTGCAATTGCAGTAGCAATGTTTTCCACTAATGTCAAATAATACTTTTTTCTCTGTGGAAAGTTTGGAAAGTGACCTTGGTTCCTCTTCAGATAGTTCAGCAATGGATCTTTTTAGCGCTGATAAAACTTGATAGCCATGAAAATTACCTCACTCTGTAACGAAGTATAATTTTACTGTTACGAAACTGTTGTTTAAACGTCAGTTTTGATACAAGGAGTGCAGAACCCTGCAGACAGTCTGGATAACTGAAATGCATTCTGTGCAGCCTCTCAGCACTAAAAAATAGTTTTTATATCTTCACTGCTAAACTTCTTGATGCTTTTTTTAACATATAAACAGTTTGCTGCTGTACTGCTGTTTCTGAATCATACCAACAGTTTCTGAAACAGTCAAGCATACTACATCTTGTGAACTTTACCTCTGATGAGATATATTTTAATCTGGTCATATCTGTTTAGATCTAGAGTTGTAGAGAAACTGAGTTAACTCAGTATCCTAATGGAAATGATAATTCCTAATGGAGTGACTTTCTGGATAAGACCCATAGTAAACAAATAATCGGAAAAAGATTGCAGTGCTCTCAAGAGCATTAAATTCTCTTTAAAAAAACTGACTACTGACCATTGCAGACTGCCCATCTTAATTACCTTATGTTGTCTTGGCCTACACAAATGACTGACCTTCTATTGAACCGCTGAAGAGTCTGCCCCACTGAGCAAACTGAGAAGTTCCCCCTGCAGCCCAGGGAAAGCAAATAAGCCTACAAAGAGCATTTGGCCTTTTGTATGAACAAGCAACCACTTTCTCCATTCCTAAGGAAAACAAGAAGACAACACATTATGCTAGAACAAGACTCATCAGGTATAGGAAAAATAGAGTGAATTAAGTGTAATGTAAAACAATGGGGTAATATTTTATCAAAACTGCTTGTGCTATGTCAACAGCTTGCTATATGAAGTAGGCTTGACACACCAGTTGAAACCAGATCTGCTTTTATAAATGGCAAAGGAGTAGTATTAGGCAACACCTTTGGTTATTATTTTCTCCTCTTTCAGTCACTGACCATAAAGAACTTAACAAGTAGCAAAGGAAATCAGTATGGGATTTGAGGATGACCTTTTAATAACACAGGCTTTTAGAACACACAAACCCAAAAATTTAAGGTTCATCTGAAGACCTAAAAAATATAAGGACCACCTATTCAGTATTCTCTCTACAATAGTGGTAAAAATCGGTGTCTAGAGAATAGCCGCATGCCTTTTCTTTATATTTAGGAACCATTCATCAATTTCTCTTTCATGTATTTATCTATCCTCCCCTTAAAACCTTTTAAACACTTAGCATCCACAACATCCTTTGGCAACGAGTTGCACAGGTTCACTATCTGCTGCATCTCCATTTTGTTTTGAACCTGACTTCCACGACTTCATTTGGTGCCCACAATGTTGTACCGTAAAGGAAGTGAATAGCGAGTCCCTCAAGATTTGCCACTCAACTTCTTTGAGACCTTCTTCATATTACCTCTACCCTTAGTCAGCTCTTTTTTCCTGAATGAAAGGCCTGGGTTGCTTAGATAGTCTTCATATAGCAGTGCTTCCAAACTCATGACCATTGTCATTGCCCTTCTCTGGATTTGTTATATCCAGTTTGTTATATCCATTCTGAGATGGCAGAGAAAACAGAACTACATTCAGCTTTATCACAGCAGCTTTAGTATTTTTGTTTACTGACAGACAGAAATAGCAGCTGAACTAAGATTCATAACCACTCCTTCCTTCTTTCTGAGAAGGAAAAACAGCATTGAAGATGCTAACTGCATTATCTTTAGCATTAGATACTGTCTTCACCATAAGAAGAAAAGAGCAAGCCAAAAAATCAATGGGCAGATGTGAGCTTAAAAATAGCTAAAGGACAGCGGAATCAGCACTTCAGAACAAATAGTTCCTCTGACACGTTCAGTATCACTGCCATTAGTCCTGTTTACACAGGCACTTCTTCCACAAAAAGACATGCTAGCTCAAACATTTCTGAAGTTGATGGTTTAACTTGACAGATAAATAAGAAAAAAAAAACTGTTCTCAAACTGATTCCAAAGACAATAGAAAACATTCAAGCGTGAGAAAGAGGCACATTTAGTCAAAGTCAAAGATATGCTACCAGTCACTGAGAATCTTTCTTTCACAATTTCTGCTCTTGCAGGTTTATGCCATCACCACCAAGTTTACTTTAGATGCGAAATACCTGAATAAGCAGGAAGACCACAAGTGCCGGGAAATGACAGCCCAAAGGTTGAATCGCTTTTCAGGGCTGTATAGCAAGAAGCAGGAATCAGACTTCTTTCTTATTAGCAAGCATGGGGGCAAAGCCAGTCTTTCAGGAGAGGAAGGGATGTGCATCCAAGTGGCACAGCCACTTGCTTTAAGTCTTTTCCAGGTTTAAGGGGAGGAGCCCACACACCAGAAAAAAAAAGGCAGGGACTGAAGCATACAGCATCCCAAAAGGGAGACAGAAATATGATATGTTATGTGGAACACAAAGCATTTGGCAGCAACATTGGGAAGGTGCTCAGCATCTGCCCCGGAAATTTTAAAAAGACAGGTTAACATGTCAGTGACACTACAGCGGTCAGAGCCATCTTCACGCTGGAGGTCTATGACCTATCTGAAAAAAAGCCTGCATAAAGTAACTAAGAAAAGTCAGCCATTTATAAGAACTATATTCAGAATTACAGCACTCACAGCTCTGCTGGACAGTTTTGTAATGGTCTGAAAATGACAAAAAAAATCATGTATAAGACCATTAACCACTGCATTTGTTCAGTAGGCCTGTTATAATTTGTACAAGCTGGAAGATGTAGCACAACATGCTATACTTACATATGCTAATTTTATGCTATCCAGGATGTTGTGCAGGTGGTGACCAGATGCCAACAGCAACCTAACAAATACAGTATATCCTGTAACTGCATTTTTAGTACTAGGAATATTCCCGCTTCCTTTTTTTTTTTTTTTTTTTTTGTTACTCTACCAAAAATATCAGTAACGATAATTGTAAGTAAGTGTAAGTATCCTCGAAAGCAATGGCCACAATGGTCAAACCTGGGTGCCAAAATGGGTTCTGATGCTTAACTTCAGACACATAAACTGGACTACTTTGGAGTTTTTCCATTATTCTTCATTTTTCTATAGTCCTCTTTGCCGTTTCTGAGAAACTAAAAAACCTGTGTTGTCTAGAGAAAAACCATGTCTGTTAATCTAGTCATTGAGTAAGCAGTGCTGACTTTCCCAAATGAGGTCTGTAGTCTTCTGTTCACTGCCTATTTCTACTTTCCTGTGGAAATCTAAATCAACAAGACACAAAAAATCCAAATTCAAGTGATTATCATAAAGTGTCTTATCACACTTTTACTGACTGTCTCAGTCTCCCTGGGAACAGGAGTGGAAAAAGCCAAACCTGAGCAGTGAATCCTGCTTGTGAGCTCTGTAACTGGCAGTTTCAAATGGCAAAAGTAAAAACGCAAACAGGTTCCAAGGCTTCTTTCATAGTACTTTTATGTTGTAATTATTACAAAATAAGAGGAGGCACACCTCTATTTGGAAAGCGCACAGTTTAAATAAGCTTATGCTGGCTAACTAGTTCTGACCTGTACTGTTATGCTGGATCCATATGATCTATATGATATATCTGCTATCATCAGATGTATTTGCTTATAACATACAATTTATAGTAAACCACCTAATACCTCCTAGGTTATATAAAGAGTCATGCCCCTCATATCATAGCAATTTAAATGCAAAAAATAAAATGTCACTTGTAGCAGTTACCAAGATTAAAAGTGGGTGAAACTCATAAGATTGATTAGTAAGTATGATCTTTAAGAAATGATAATGAAATAGTCCAAGAGTAGTTATTACACTGGAAAAAATCAATGCAATTCTTGTTCAGGTATACACATTTTGTAGGGGCAGCTGCAATTCTCTAAGAGTAATTTAGTGTGACCCATTTTGAGAAGTAAAACAAGCACAAAAAGATCTCTCAAGTAAAGCAACCAAGAAGTATGTGTTTTTCAGCTGGACACGTAAGAGTTAAAGAACAAAGCCAAACGTTGCTTAACATAGGTCAGCTTTTCATACTGCCAGTTGTGAAATACATTGGACTATATGTACCGTAAGCAATTTCATTTGCTTTGTTCTCTGTCAATCATTATTTATTCTCTATTATCATTCATTATTTTAACAAGTCTGTATCTCTTAAAGAACATCCTTATTACAACTACAGTGCACTTCCTGAAACTCAGCTTCAAAGGATAAAAAAAGTATACACTTAATTTTTTCTCCCTAAAAAACCACTGGTTTCTACAACATTAGCAGCTGTTAATGGAGAGACATTCAGTTATGCAGTTCTAATTCCATCCAAAAGAGAGCAGTAGTAAGCCTCCTTTCTAGGATAGTCTTGAGACAGAAACAGTTTTAAATGAATTAAAATATCATGCATCGCAACTTGCTATCACTCTTAAATGTGGCCTCAGAGAATTATACCCTAAAAATAAAATAAGAGTCATGCAGATGAAACACGGAGGGAGATGCAGAATTTGCAGGAGAGAAGAACTTTAGAGAGGCATTAGCAGAAGGATCTCCTGGAGAGACAGGGAAAGATGAATGTCACCAGCCAATACTGAAAAGATCTCACCTGGATTTCTGTGTATAATGCTGGTCAGCGTGTTCAAGAAACATCAGTTCATACTGGGTCACATGCAGGACAGGACCTGAAGGGAGAGCTTGCGAAAGGGAATATAATATATAGATTCACTGGAAGATGAGGGTGGGGGATTGAGGACATGATCAAGAAATGCATATAGATTGTCCATGAGTTAACTATGTCTAGAAATTAAATTTTCAGCCATCAGATCATCCGATATGGGAACAGCTTTCTACACAAGCGCAAAAAAGCTAACTGCTTTAAGATAGAAATTCAGAAGGTTAGTAAAGTGGTTATATAACATGTATCTAATAATGGCCCTGGTGATTCCTTTTAGCACCATGCTCCTCCTATTAGTGGGTTACAGAAATGAGTGTGCACACACGTGAGAAAAGCCAGCTAAGTGCAATGCCATAAGAAAAGTTATGATAACAGAGAACCTGTTTAGTTTAACAAATATATAGTCTTTTTTATTATTGTACTTAATACACAGTACGTGTCCATTTTCAATATAAGAAAATAAAATGGAAGTTTTTGCTGTTATCTCAGGAGGAGATGAACATGCAGTGACACGCCACTGTCTGAAGCATCAGAGTAACTGATGGAAGTGCTTCACTGGTACAACCAAAAAAATGTTTCTGAGAAAGGATGAAACCTCATCAGTACCAATCTCCCCCTCTCCCTGCCCAGCGCTCAGTTGTAGTCACAGAACAGTAACATGGCAGGATCCCAGGCCCCTAGAGAGATGTGCCTGCCCTTCCTTCTTGCAGTGAACACCAAAACCCATGAAAGCAGGTCTGAGTCCCAAACGCCAACTTTTATAAGAGCTGAAATTAGAACAACGAACTTCCAAATAAAGAAATTGGGGCAGCAGACAGACTGTCACACTCTCTCCCTCTTGGCCTACACTACGCTCTTGAAACTTCCACTCAAAGGTGCCCAGATGCTCCTAGCCTAGGCACGATCTCACCTTGCTGCAGAGAAGTTCATCTGACCTAGAATGCAGGAGCCTTAGCAATCCAACCTGCTGCCCAACCACATCCTCTCAAACAAACATAGTACATAGACTATGTAATAAACAACAAACCAGAAAAGAAAATAATATACTATTGTTTCAGATACATCACACAGTTTAAAAATCCAGTTATGATGTCTAATTTTGGAGACTCACGCAGAGGTTTGGGACAAAGCTCACTGTACAGAAACGCTTTCAACAGCAAAGTCAACTGAAATGTTCAAGGCAGGGATCGAAATGTCAGTACCTATTACTGCAGAACAAGAGGCAAAACCAGATTGCAACACTTCCAGATAGCAACAACAGATGAGATAAAAGTTATCAGGTGTTAGGACTGTACAATAAGCTAGTGAGACGAATGCACACTGTCAATAAGGCACCTACTGAATAAGAAAATGAACTCATTGGTCCTTAAGTGCTCTGCTCTTTTAAATAAAGGAAGTTATAGGTTTGCTTGCAGTCCAACAAACACCGCAAATACCCTCAGCATGAAAGAGAGGCAAAATGGCCACTGTGGCCACTGTCCAGCTTGTAAGAGAATATGAGGTTATATTTCAAGAAGCAGACACCAGCCTAAAGTCAAAAATAAATATGCCTTTGAATCTCTTTTAGGTACCACCTGTGATACTCCTGAAACAATCACTCTCAAATCTTTTAGCAGATACCACTGGGTGTGAATCATTTGGACATCAGTTCAAGTGCTGAGATGCTCCACAGTAAACTGAATCATACGTTAGTGAGACTTCCAGGCTTAAGACTGAACCTTACAGCAGAAGGAGATTGCAAGAAAAAGGCAATCCCCAACCATGAATCCAACAATCCAGAGATTCCAAAAAAGTGTCAACAACAAAATGTTAGAGTGGGCAGAAAGAAACTGAAGCAGAAGAAACCTACAAACACATATGTCAGGCATCTCTTGAGCTCTGAGTGATTATAACTGGATCCTGAAACCCTGAGGACCATTAAAGAAATGCCCAGACTACAGCATAGGAATGAAGTGCAGTCATAAAGATCACGAAAGTGAGAGAAGGCAGACTTGATCTGAAACTGTCTAAAAAACAATAAGCAAGGCACTAGGTTTAATGTACAATAAACATATGAAGCAACTAAAGTTACAGACAGAGACTTGTAAAAGATGCCCAAGAGTAGCACCATATAAAGCCTCTGCAAAAATAACCCTTCCAGTCATCAAAATGTGAGCTCATACAGAAAATGAACTGACTGTGCTACCCAGGAGGTTTACTACCTCCTGTTTTACTACCTCCAGGAGGTTTACTACCCGTCAGTGCATGCAGAGTATGTGCAGTGATGTCATGACAAATCATTAGGAAATGGCATGAAGAAACTACTGCTGAATGCTCTCAGCCACGTTACTAACATGGAAGTTTTTCTATGGCAGGCAGGGTAAGAGTTTCTTGATGTAGGTGCACTGAGCAGGATATTACCCTTGTCTTTACAAATTGCACATGTGCAGGCCACAAGCCTTCCACAGCACAACACAACTGGCTGTGTATAACAGCAGATAATCTACAAACATACAGCAATATATTCACATCTGCTAGTGGAGCCTCCAAGAAAGCCAACAAAGTCCATTGTGCTATAGCA